ACTCTCCCATGCTGCTGGTTAGGCCTGGCACGCCGGACATCAGAGCTTCAGCTGGGGCCTGGAATCCCCACGCCCATCTGACCACGCCCATCTCTACTCTGTAACTCTCTATGGCTCCCCATCACCTTTGGGATAAAACCCAAACCCCTTAGCCACGCTCACTAAACCCAACTATCAACATACCCACCCCCCCATACTGTCTCCTCCTTATCCCTGCAGCCTGGCCTCCCAGGGGTCCCAGAGTTCAGACCACATCAATATTTGCTGAATGCATGAGTTTTTTAATAGGTGCATTCAAGCAATTCCCTTGTCCGTGCCCTGAGAGAGTAAACCTTTCTCTGGGCTCTTCCACGCCACAGTTACTGAGCTAGAAGGGCAGCAGGGCGTGGTCATGTTTCTGAGAACCTTGCGGCTTTGACCTCATCAGCCCCCCACAAGCACTGGGCCATCAAGCGACGCGAACTCTCCACTTTGGGAAAAAGTCTCTGGGAGGTCACGCTGCGCATTGAACGTCACGAGTTTAGCAGCTGCCAGATCCAGTCCTCTTGACTCAAATTTAATTAATGTTGAGACGGCCGAATGAAGGTCTGTCACACTAAGGTAACCTCGCCATCAGTTTTCTCGTCTACGAAATGGACATGTCGCCATGGAACTGGAAAGGGTGTTTTGAGAGATAAATGAGGCCCGCGATTCCCAGATGCCAGTCCTAAAAAATGTAGATACTGGGTGCCAACCCAGACTTAATGAAGAAAGACAAAGAAAAGACTACCTGGGGGTGGGATCCAGAATCTGTGATTTTTTTTTTTTATTTTTTTTTTCAACGTTTATTTATTTTTGGGACAGAGAGAGACAGAGCATGAACGGGGGAGGGGCAGAGAGAGAGGGAGACACAGAATCGGAAACAGGCTCCAGGCTCCGAGCCATCAGCCCAGAGCCTGACGCGGGGCTCGAACTCACGGACCGCGAGATCGTGACCTGGCTGAAGTCGGACGCTCAACTGACTGCGCCACCCAGGCGCCCCCAGAGTCTGTGATTTTTAAACAGTGCTTAAGTTCTCTGATGTGCGGCCAAGTTTGGGGACCCCAAGACACCACAGAAAAGCCTAGTACATAGTAGGTGCTCAATGTTAATAGGACCCATACTATACCAGCCAAGTTGCAAGGACACAGAACTGCTGGCATTCACAGCTTTCGGACATATATTGCTGTGTGCCCTTGGGTGAGTTACTCAACCTCTCAGAGATTGTATCTTTATTAAACAGGTCAATAATAGAAGTACCCTCCTCCTGTGGTTATGGTAAGGATTATCTAAATAGCACACTTACTGCTGCCACCAGAAAGTCTACGAGCCCCCTAACTTTCAAACCAGCCCCAGGTTTGTCCCTTGTAGCCAGCTCTGTCACCACTTAGCCCAGATGACCATCTCCTCCGGCCTGGAAGGGTATTCTAGCCTCCTAACGGCATTGCCATCCTCTTCACGTCTAGTCTCCGCACAGAAGAGCGAGCCTCTCAACCGCGAATCGGGTTATGTCACTCTCTGCTCAAGACCTCCCAATGGCTTCGCACGACCCTTCGTGTAAAGCCCAAGCCTTCCAGGGCCTGCGTGTTCAGGTCCCTGTCTGCTCCTCCTTCTCCCAGGGTAGCTGAGCCGACCACCCAGGCTCAACGGGACCCCTTGCAATTGCCTCTTCCAGAACTCCACTTATTTATTGCCTTTATTCCCCATATCAAGGTGTGGGATGTTTCTACTTATTTATACCATTGTTTGCTTGCCTCCTTTTCCATCAGATGTGAGTTTCACGACGGAGGGTACCTGCCTTACTAACCATTATCCGCCTAGATGGAGCATATCACCTGACTCACAGCAGGTGCTGCATAGATCATGAAGGAAGGAAGGAAGGAAGGAAGGAAGGAAGGAAGGAAGGAAGTCGTTCAGTGCCATACCCAGCACTTACGGCACAGTCAGTAGCAAAGTTAGCTCCGTCTCTCTTCCCCCTCCTCTCTGCTCTCTCTGCCTCGGTCCCTGGAGCCTTCAGGTAAAGGACAAATACCTTCCCTCGGAGAGGAAACGCAGCGATGCCCAATGTCATCACTGCTTTATTTGATTAGCTCTGGCTCCGGCATCCGGGACACGTGTGCTGGGAACCAAAGCAACTGTACCCTGACCTCTGGTCCACGCGAAACCATCCTTATAACGATTTCCATGACAACAGCAACAGAAAGCCAAGGCTGTGAATTCCCTTTGATAGGAGCCGGATGCAGAGATGGGGAAGAAGGACTTTCAGAAGAATGAAGCTCTTTGATTCAGCTCGAGGCGCCTTCATTAAATACCACCATTTGTCAAGAACACACATTTTAACCCTGCCGAGGAAGGTTGCTCATGAATACTTTAAAAAGGAAGGAAAAGAACGAACAAAACCATCACGGTTCCTTTTTGAGGACAATCACCTGTGGGGACGGGGACATTTGGATGCTGTGGCATCAGGAATATTTTGGTGGGAGGCAGGAAGAGCAGCTGGCCCCCTGCCAAGGGGGCTGCAGGAGCCCGACATGCCTGGATCCTGACCAAGTGCCCAGACATCTCTGCCCACTTGAGGCAAGTCAAAAGGCTAAGCGTCTTCCACCCACGTGGCCAGCCAAAGAGAAAGGTCAAGGAACCCCTAGATTCTGCAGTTAGAATCACGAGCCCTGGATATGAATCCCAGCTCTGCCACTTAGCTGCCGGGCACGTCACTTCCCATCTCTGGACAGGACTTCCCCACCTGTAAAATGGGCGCAAGGTCACTTCCCTTCCCCAGGGAGTAAGAAGGGTAATGAGATTGAGTACAAGGGTGCACTTAAGCCCAGGGGATTCTAGTTTTCTGACACGGCCACGCGGAGAATAGGGTTTGCCTTAAAAGCAGGACAGTCCGGGACAAGCCAGGATGGTTGGTCACCCTGAAAGAGCATTAGCAGATGCAACGGAGCATTAATTAATAGGATTATTAAGAGAGGAGGCCCTTCGGCATCTTCAGGTTTCACAGCACTGCACCTCCGGGGAGGTCTCTCCCCAGACCTACCAACCTGGTCCAATCATGACAAAAGCATCACACAAAGCCAGACTGGGGGGACACTTTACAGAATACCTGGCCAGTCCTCCTCAAAACTGTCAAGGTCATGAAAAGCAAGGCAAGACTGGGAACCTGTCCCAGACCAGAGGACACTGGGCAGGCCAGACCACCCAACACAGCGTCGTGCCCTGGGTTGGTTGGATCCTGGAACGGGAATGCATGGAATCCAAGAATGAACGGGGAAACTCGTGAAATCTGAATCGAGGCTGGAATTTTGTTTAAAAGGAAAACAAGGTTTTCTCCCTTAGCTAACCAATTGCTACCCGAGACCTTTCATTTTACAGACAGGAAACTGACACCGGAGACAGGAAGCAGAGAAAGCTCTGGGTCCGGTTTCTACGACCTGGAGCTAGACTCTGCTGCCTCCCGCTGCCTTCCTGGGGACCTGCTGACCTTCTTGAGCTCCTCCAGAAGGAAGAGAGAAGAGCAGTCAGTGGTTTCAGAGTCAGGGAAAGTGGGTTCAAGGCCCAGCTTTGCCTTTGACTGGCTGTGTGACCTCAGGCAAATCCCTCACCCTCTCTGTTCCCTAGTTTCCTCACTTGTCAAATGAGGCAGAGGACCCCACTGAATTCAACAGGCAGGCATTTATTCAGTATTTATTATGGGCGATGGACTGGACAGGCACCACCAGACATGGTTAAAGCAGAGCCTTGCCCTCCGGAAGTGTATCGTTTTGCCTGAGGGTCCGAAAAGTACAGATAACCCATCTAAGTTTCTGGGGATATTCTGTGGAGATAGAGAAGCCCGCAGCCATGTGGCAGCACTGAGGCTACGTGATAGAAGGCCAGAGAAGGAGAAAGAACAGAGGGCAACACTCTGAGAAGGTGAGGTGGTGAGGGCAGCAGGAAATGCCTTCCGTCTCTCCACACCTGGATTCAGCACATGCAATTTATTAGCAGGAAACGAGGGACTTAGAAGTGACACCAAATGCAAGGGCACCACACCCCCAGTGGGGCTCTCAGCTCCCCTGTGTTGTTTCCAGCTCACTCCCCCGCTCCCTGTCCCTGCATGGGTCAGGTAGCAAGTCCCGTGTCCCTGCTGTGATATTCCGCCTTGGGACCTCTCTCCCCAAGTCCGCCAACCTCCCCCCACCCCACCCCGCGGAATCTGAACACCTCACGCCTCTCGACAGCTGCCTCCATGGGCTGCGCTGTCTGCACTGGGCAGCGCCCAAGCCCGTCGTCCCATCTCCCCAGGTCCTTGGCTCCTGCCTGGTCTCACCTCCCATCTGCCTCCACTCCTCCCCGGGGGCAGCCAGGGAGGGGTGGAGTCCTGAGTTTGAATCCTGGCTCTGACACTTTCTAGCTGCCTTGGGGGTGGGTCTCCTGCCCTCCTTGTCTCTCAGTCCCCTCCCTTGGAAAATGGGAGATGAGAATCCTGGAGACCTCGGTACAGAACTCGGTGCCCCATCCCATACAGAGTAAGCGCTACATGGTGGGAGCTCCAGAAGGTGAGACGGCCAGAGATCCGCATCATTACAATTCTAACTGGCAAACGGCTATCGGTGGTGGTGGTGGCGGTTTAGGCTTTGCTTTATCAGCACGACTGCCCGTTGTTTCATACCCAGCCTGGGTGGGCACCACCTGGCCACCACACATGCGCACGCGCGCTGCCCTCGGCCATTCTGCCACGGGCCCCTGATCTGCCCGTGCCCTCGGGCTGCCTTCTGCCTCCACCCTGAAGAAGGGAACTGGACTTCTCAGTCATTTATAAACCCCTCCTTGTCACTTACAAGCCACCTCCATGTGGCATGCTCAGCCCCTCGGTGTCCCCCTTCTTCATGCAGGTCTGTGAAGGTCGGACGTCAGTGCAGTGGCCACCCCCATCCCCATGCCCTGGCTGGCTGCAGCACCCTCCCCAGCCTGGTCCGGAGGGGACCCACGACACCCACCTGGCTGTGCACTTTCTCCAGCTCCTCCTTGCTGACCGACGTCTTGCTATCCTCCATGCTCCCCAGAAGGAGCTGCACGTCGGACAGTAGCGCGTGAGTCCTTTTGAGGTCCCTCCGGAGACGCTTCTCCACGTCAAAGTCCCGATGGCCGATCTGGAAGCCAAGGGAAGGCTCTCATGAGCTAAGATGGCAAAGCAGTGGCCAGGGTCCAAGTTCTCCGGAACCAGACTCCCTGGGTTTAAATCTTGCCTCTGCCTCTCCCACTGTGGGACCTTGGACAAGACCCTTCTCCTCCCCGAACTCAGTTTCCACATCTGCAAAATGGGAACGACATCAACCGCGTGGGGCTGTCGTGGGAATTAGAAAGGTGTTTAGCCGAATGCCTAATAAGCTGTGCCCAAAGCTGCCCTCACAGCCCGTAAGGATCCAAAGTCACTATGTCTCGTGGTTGGCACCAAAGCCATCAATATGGCCTCTCCCCACCTTGCAAGAGCCTACAGGTCAGGGGAGGCCCTCTGGTGACAGAAGTGAGGACAGCAGTTTCCCTGCAGGGGCAGGGACTAGATAGGGCAGAACTCAGGAGCCCCTTAATTCTATTCATGTGGGTGGTACTTCTCTGAGTTTATGAAAATGCATTGAGCTGTACGGGAGGGGTCCGGTATGCTTCTCTGACTGTATGTTATGCTTCAGTAAATGGTGCTTAATATAGCTGTGCTGTTTTTGGAGATCTAAGTCAAGTTTTGCTGTCCCTCGAGCTGGTCCCCTCTGCCAGGTTGAGGCATGAGGTCATTTTCTGTAAAAAGTTGTTACCCAAGAAGTGAGCACGTTCCTTCCCCCAAATCCCTGAACTTGTAGGCCCTCTGAGCGGGCAGCTATCCAGTGGCCCCTGCAGAAGCCACGTTCCTGGACTCGGCACCAGGAGGGTGACAACTCCCAGCGGCCAACAAACGGAGAGAGGCACAGGGTTCCCCAGAGGACCGGCATGAAACAGCGACAGTCCACAGTCTCACATACAAACAGCGCCTACTGGAAAAACACTAGGGGAGCACCTCTGAAACTCTAGAAGAAATTAACAGCCCCTTGGGTTGCCTGGGTCGCTCCATCGGTTAAGCCTCCGACTCTTGGTTTCGGCTCACGGTTCATGAGTTCAAGCCCCATGCTGAGCTCTGCACTGCCTGTGCAGAGCCTGCTTGGGATTCTTTCTTTCTCCCTCTCTCTCTCTCTGCCCCTCCCCTGCTAGTGCTCTCTCTCTCTCTCTCTCTCAAAATAAATAATTAAAAAAAAGAAAAAGAAACTAACAGCTCCCTTCTCGGACTCTCCAGAGACCAGCGGAAAGAACACAGCACCATCTATCAGATGGGGAGTTTTCAAGAAAATGGGGTGTAGGTGTGTTTCAGCCGTGGGACCCAATTTCTACCCACCTGGATACCTGTGCCTCTCAACAACCATTTCCTGGGATGCTCAGAATGCCCCAGAATATTCTAGAAAGAAGGTGGGGTTGAGAATGGGGTGGCCCCGGTTTTAAACCCTGGCTCGCCATTTGCTGACATTGGGAAGGATGGCTGAATCATACGACCTCTCTGAACCCGAATCTCCTTGTTTGTAAAAATAAGGTGAAAAAAATAATCTCTACCCTCCATGTTGAGATAAGACAAGGATCAGGCATGATAATGGATCAGAAAGCACTTTGCATGCTGTCAAGTGCTTTACAAATATAAAGAATTATGAGTATTGTCTGATGACCTAGAATGCACTCCTCTAGATTAAGCATTACTATTTCTCGGCAACTAGCTTTGAATTCTTTGAAAAATGAGTTGGTTCTTCGAATATAGCCTCTTTGTTCTCAGATGTATTGCTTTGTTAAGTTTTAAATGCTAGTCTAATGTGTGTGTGTGTGTGTGTGTGTGTGTGTGTGTGTGTGTGTATGTTATATAATCTCACCTGCTGAGCTGAGATCAGGACGGGGCATTGTGCCAGGCCCTTTGTCACATGTTACTGCATCTAACTCCTGTGACAATCTCTTAAAAATAGATGTTATTATTATTGCCTTTATAAAATGCAGTAATAGCTTACGTTTAAAGGGAGCTTTCTAAGTGTCAGACCCGGTTCGAAACCCTTCAGGGAAATTAACACGTTTGGTCTTCATGAAGCATCTATGAGGTATGTAGTATTAGGAGTCCCATTTGACAGATGATGAAGCTGATGCCTACAGAGGGGGAAGTAACCAGCCCAAGGTCACACAGCTATGAAATGGAAGTTTGGATAGGAATCCAGCTGTCCTGGCCAGAAAGGGGTAATTGTAGGGAAATGTACGATACAAGAGATGTGTTCTGCTTTTTAATTTAAGGGAAAGCATGCTTGGGAGGAGCATCGCCCAGCTCAGGCTGGGAGGGGATCCGCAAGAGTCTTAGGTAAGTGGGAGCCAGGTGAGCTGTGGGAAGGGCATTTCAGGAAGAAGCCATGCCATGAGCAAAGACAGAGGGCTGAGAAAGTCTTGTATATCTTGTTCTGAGTGATTAGCATGAGGGTGTAGAACACGGAGGTGGGGCAGGGGGCCTGGGGCCAGCTCATGTCTTGTGAGCGGTGGGACTCTTTAAGTATGTACCGTCTTGGGAAAATGGAGGTACAGCGGGTGAAACTGACGTAGAGAGAGTAAGTGCTCTCCCCAAGGTCACAGAGTGGCTGTGCAGGACCCTGGGCAGCTCGCTATTAGATGCAAGTCTCTAACCACTGCACGGCAGAGCCTAGGGGAACCTGAGTCCTGAATCACTAACTCGAGCCCAGGTTCATTACCATGATTGCATTCAAGCAGCATATTAGCATCTTTCTTATCTCTATGTCTGTTCTTGATCTTTATACATCCCAAGAGTATAAAGAGCATTCATTTGCCTGTGGAGCAGGTGGGCGTCAGGGACACTCCCTAATGCTGGCGCTGACCACGGCTCAGAGTCTATCAACTTACTGAAGACCCTGAAAATGCGACCACCCCATCTCCTTTGCAGAGGGGTCTTTGCAAACAAAACTTACAACAAAATCTCAGACCAAGTCACCCTCCTCTTCATAATGAATCGTTACAAGAGAGGAGGGCAAGAGAGAGAGAGAGAGAGAAAGCTCATTAGGTTAATGGGAAATAAATGTCATTCGGCAAGTTTGCATTCTGTAGCACAAAGATTCAAATTTGGATAAAGCTGGTGAATAATTAACCAATAAATCTAAATGATGTTTAGTGTTGTTTTGGGAAACTATATTCAAACCTCAACTGTTTCAACATTTATCATAACGCCAAATTGTCTGGGGCTGTTGTTAAATGTCTGTTGTCGGGACACCTGGGTGGCTCAGTCGGTTAAGCATTCGACTTCGGCTCAGGTCATGGTCTCACAGTTCGTGAGTTCGAGCCCCGCATCGGGCTCTCTGCTGTCAGCGCAGAGCCCAATTCAGATCCTCTGTCCCCCTCTCTCTCTACCCCTCCCCTGCTCACTCTTTCTCTCTCTCAAAAATAAATAAACATTTGAAAAGAATGTCTGTTGACAAAGATCCCTGAGTCCTTTAAAATGCAATCTGTAAATGCCATTGGGGATAATGGAAGCCACTTTACAGAAGGGGAAATTGAGACTAGGAGAGAGAATGAATAACATTCTAAAAAAAATCAATATGGTTAACAAAAGTATGATTCTAATTAACTGGATATTTATCATTTTTTTGGACCTTCATCATTTTTAACTATTTTAATGTTAATGTATTTTTGAGAGAGAGAGAGAGAGAGAGAGAGAGCATGAGCAGGGGAGGGGCAGAGAAAGAGGGGGACACAGAATCTGAAGCAGGCTCCAGGCTCTGAGCTGTCAGCACAGAGCCTGATGCAGGGCTCGAACTCATAAGCTCTGAGATCATGACCTGAGCTGAAGTTGGACGCTTGACTGACTGAGCCACCCAGGCACCCCTGGACCTTAATCATTCTTAAGCAGCATAGCACTAGGTTACAAAAATACAGGGCTTTCAAATAATATGGATCCCATTTCAAACCCACTTAGGCCACTAACAAGCTATATGATCTTGGGAAATTTCCTTTAGCTTTTAAGCCTCACTTCTATCATTTATAAGAAGGAACTAATAATACTTATCCCACAGCATTGTTGTAAAAATCAAATACCGTATGTTAGAAAAAATTATGACTAGTTATCTACCACAAGAATAGAAATATGGTTTGTAGGGGCGCCTGGGTGGCGCCAGTGGTTTATCGCCGACTTCAACATACGGTCGCGATCTCGGCGGTCGTGGCAAGGCCCCGTCGGGCTCACTGGGCTGATGGCTCAGATCACCAGGCACCATTTCCGATTCTGTGTCACCCTCCTCTGACCTCCCGTTCACGCTCTGTCTCTCTCTGTCCCAAAAATAAATAAACGTCGAAAAAAAAATTAAAAAAAAAAAAAGAAATATGGTTTGTAGCTTTAGAACAAACATTAGAACAAAAGGGATCATAGAAAACATTACCAATGTATCCAAGAGCAGGAAAAGAATATAAGAAGAAGCAAAGAGGGGCACCTGTGTGGCTCAGTCGGTTAAGCATCCGACTTCAGCTCAGGTCATGATCTCATGGTTCAGGAGTTAAAATACCACGTCAGGCTCTGTGCTGACAGCTCAGAACCTGGACCATGCTTTGGATTCTGTGTGTGTCTCTCTCTCTCTCTCTCTCTGCCCTCCCCCACTCTGCCCTGCCTCTCTCTCTCTCTCTCTCTCTCTCTCTCTCTCTCTCTCTCTCTATCAAAAATAAACAGACATTTAAAAATTTTTTTCAAAAAGAAGAAGCAATGAAGGGGACAAAAAGCCAACAAATGTTAAACACAAAATAAGAGAATAGAAGTAACTTCATATATATTAGTTATTCCAATAGATGTAAATGAATTAGATTCTCGTATAAAAAGTTTGAGACTAAAAACACTGAAAACAAAACACATTCACATACACATTTGGAAAGGGTGAACCTGAAGGGATGAAAAAAAAAGGTCTTGCAGGCTAACTAAAAGAAATCAAGCAAAATAACATAAGGCAAAACCCATTGATTGAGGAAAGAGGGACGATTTAATAATCAAAACAATCTGCTAAGGAAAGAAAACAATAATAAGCTGAGATGCACCTAAAAACATAATCTCAAAATATATGCATACCCTGGAGAAACTCTTGCCCACGTGCACAGCAAGACAGATATAAGACTAGGCACTGAAGTTTTGTGTCTTTGTATGAAAACAACTACATACCCACCAGCAGAAGAATAGAATTAAAAATAAAAAGAATATGGGGTAGCACTTAAGATAAATGAATTAGAGCTACATGGATCATCATAGACTGATCTCATAAAAGAAGGCAACAAAGTAAAATGCAAAATCATATGTACTGTGTGTGGTTAACTTTTTAAAAAAAATTTAATGTCTATTTATTAGTGAGAGAGACACACAGAGAGAGAGAGAGAGAGAGAGAGAGAGAGAGAGAGAATGAGCGGGGGAGGGGCAGAGAAAGAGGGAGACACAGATTCTGAAGCAGGCTCCAGTCTCTGAGCTGGCAGCACAGAGCCCGACGTGGGGCTCAAACCCACGAATCACAAGATCATGACCTGAGCCAACTGAGCCACCCAGGCGCCCCTGTGGTTAAGTTTAAATACACATACAGTGGAATTCTACATTCCAGCCTCAGGATGATGGTTTCCTCTGGGAGGCAAGGAAGAAGGAAGGTGGGAGGGGCGGGACTTTGGGAATGGAAACCAAGGGGCCACCAGCTGTTTTTGGCGTGGGTTTCCTGTCCTTAAAAATATCTGAATGTAATACAGCAAAATTTTAATTTATGTGAACCGTGGGTGCTTGGTGCATGAGCATGAGTTCTATTATTCATTCTACTTTTTTCCATGTGTTTGGCAAGTGTCTTAATAAAACATTAAAGATTACCAAATGTGATCATTTATTTAGAGGTCCCAGCGTGGTGACTCACACAAAATTAGCATTTTATTCATCTCAAATCACCTTCCCTTTGCACAGAAAATGTTTCATTTCAGCAATATCTATAAAAATCTTTCCTTCCTGGTTTACCTACTTTGTCAGCTCCAGTGGACCCTGCTGAATAGAACGCCGCCTTCTCCCGGCGATTTCCCACTCTCGTTCTAGAATCAAATACTAGGCTGGGCACTCTGGCACTAATGCTAACGAAAGAGTAACCCCGATGGCTCTGCACTCAATGGCCCCAGTTTGCTCGGCTGAGAAACTAGAAAATGCAGAGAAGGACGATGATGAAGCTTTCCTGTTGCCTCCTTCAGCTCCCCACCCGGATGCTCAAGCTGTGGTGATCCTGCGCTAGGATTCACTCATTTAATCAATTTTTTAAAAATACCCAATGAGCTCCTATTTGTCTAAGGCCTGGATGCCCTAGTGGGCCATTTGGAGACCGGCCCGCATTCCTTCGTGAACAGAAAGGGAAACTCTGGTGATTGACGGCGAGAGCATCGCTAATTAAAAGGCAATGAATGCGTATTAAGCAAATCCATTAAAACCCACTCCTGTGATACTTTCAAAGACATCATAGAAGCCACAGGCATCCCCCTCCAATGCTGAGGTTTCACGCAGCAGCGGTACAAACAGGAAGATGCTTCCCAGCTGGGAAATCAGGGAGCTGGTGCAGGGCCCTGCCTGCTTTGTTTACAGCTGTGGTTTTCCGACTTGGTGCTCAAGGGACATTTGGTAAGGTGTATAGACATTTCCGGTTGTCACAAGGGAGGGGGGATGGGAGGCTGCCATCATTCAGCAGGTGGAGGCCAAGGGATGCTGCTCCACATCCTACGACGCGCGAGACAGCCTCACCTGCGACAAAGGCTGATATGGCTTGAAACGTCCACAGCGCTACAGCCGAGAACCTTGATGTCCAACTGTGGCAACATGCGCACAAGGCTCTGCCTTTCAGTAGCGGTTAATCAGCTCACCCAAAGCCAGGCAGACAGAAGTGGCCCAGCTAGGGTTTAAAGCTACATTTGCCTGACTCGGAGCCTGCCGCCTCTGGCAGAAGTCTCGTCCTCACGAGGCCGGCTGTGAACACAGTGACCGTTCTCGTTCACCCCACTGAAGCAAGGGCTGCCTCCCCCGTCTCCCCGACAGCCTGCTGAAGGCAAGGCCACCTCGTCTGTCACTTCTGGTCGGCCCACTCCATGTATTCTCATGGTTCTTCCAAGAACTCTGCTGCGTGTGGACCCCAGAAGGTGTCCTTTGAAGAGCCGGTGAGTGTGGACAGGGCCTGAACTGATAGGCAAGAGGGCGCTTGGGAGGATTGGGGGAGGCTGGCTGAAATGACTAGGGTCTGGCTTTTCCTGAAGACTACTGAGCTGTCCCTGCCCCTGAATCCACCTCTCTAATAGGGCCCGGAGGGCAGGGAATGTGTTGCCTCAAACACGTTTTGTTTGCGGGTGTTTCCCCCTTACCTGATCGCAGAGGGTTCCAATCAAGCCTTCCAAATCCTGCTTCTCATGAAGGGCTATCTGCTTCTCCTCGTATTCTTGTTCCAGCTGCATTTCCAGCTGGCGGAGCTGTGGACACAAAGGGCGGATACGCACATGGGATAAATGAGCTCCATCCAGACCAAGCTCACGAGGCAGGGACCCCCTCCCGGAGGAGGGGAGGAATGTCAAGTGCACGGCCGCCGTCCGGCTCCACAAAGGCTGCCCTGGCCATCAGGAGGGCGCGTTCCTGTCAGAGAACCCAGGAGCCTAGAAGCTTGGGAGCCTGACAGTTATGGGGCGAGCTGGCCGCTTATGGGAAACCCCCTGCCACTTGATGTGAAGCCCTTACCCCCAGTTCCCTGCCCACTCCTTAACAGGTGCTTCCTCCTATGCCACGATCTTGCTCGAATGTTCGCAGATCTCGGCATTCGGACTTTTAAGGCCTCTGTACATTATGTCTGATGTATTGAAATGTATCCACCTTCTTTATCAAATAGGCTGGGAATCCGTTCTTGTAAAAAGAAGTTTGGACTACAAGTTCGTGTCTCTCCAAACTTCCTATGTTGAAATCCTAACGCCCTGGTGCAGTGCTCGTTGAAGACGTGGCCTTTGGGAGATAATTAGGTTTAGACCAAGGTCATGAAGGCGGAGCCCCCGTGCTGGGATTGGTGCCCTTTATAAGGAAAGACAGCAGAGGAGTGCCTGGCTGGCTCAGTCGGTTAAGCGTCTGACTTCGGCTCAGGTCATGATCTCACAGCTCGCGAGTTCGAGCCCCGCGTCGGCTCTCTGCTGTCAGCTCAGAGCCCACCTCGGATCCTCTGTCCCCCTCTCACTGTCCCTCCCCCACTAGCGCATGCATGCTCCCCCTCAAAAATAAATAAATAAACATTAAAAAAATAAGAAGAGACTGCAGAGAGCCTGCTTCCTCTCCCTCCACTGCGTGAGGACACGGCAAGAAGACCGTTGTCCCATTGTCCGTAAACCCGGAAGAGGGTCCTCCCCTGACGCCCAATCTGCTGTCACCTTGATCTTGGACTTCCCAACCTCCAGAACCGTGACAAGTAAATCTTGTTGTCAGCCCTTGGTCTATGGTATTCTGTTATACTAGTCCAAATGGACTAAGACATCTGGCTGCAAGCAACTCATTCAATTTACAGTTGGCTCTGACTTCCCTAATCCCCCCGCAAAGGCAGGTGCTCCCCGCCGAAGTGAATACCCCACGGCAACCGCTTTGCACACCTTCTTCCCTACCAGCCTCTGTCCTACACGTCGTCTCACCCTTCCCTTCGTCCTTCCTTTCCACGCTGTCAGTGACCCTACTTCACAGCTGGGTAAACTGAGTCAGAGAGAAGCTGTGAGGCGCGTGCTCCTAAGTCAGTTGCTGCTGAGAGCAGTTAGTGTTCTATCTTCTGGCCCCAGCTTTTCTGCCACCCCAGACAGCCATCAGCTTTCCCACGTGGGTCGCTAAAACGATTGATTTCCTGCCACGGTGAGAGAGACAGAGCAGGCCCTACATGTGAAGTCCATGTGAGTGCCTGTCATAAGGATAAAAACACCTTTCTCTGACCTCACCCTCTCCCTTTATAAATCTATCCACGGAAAAGCCTCAGGAGGGTCTGGGTCACATCTCCGCCTCACTGGGGCCCTGGGTCAGGGCACCCGTGATGCTTTGCGACACTTTTAGAATGCGCCAGAAATTGTGCAACCTTCACCTGAGGGCGCATGGGAAGGGACTGAGGGTTTCCATCTCCTGACCCATGGAAGGGAAAAAGCACTGATTGATGGTCACTTACGTAGAAAGCAAGTTCATTTCAGAACTTTCTTTTAACAGTGAGAGAAACAAGGCACTCTGTTTGTATCTGCTTGTAGAGGGAAGACAGGCAAAGCTAAAACTCATTTTGAAAAATTCATATTTGAAAAATACACAAAAGAGGGGCACCAGGGTGGCTCAGTCGGTTGGGCCTCCAACTTTGGCTCAGGTCATGATCTCGCAACCCGTGGGTTCGAGCTCCTGCATCAGGCCGTGTGGTGACAGCTCAGAGCCTGGAACCTGCTTCTGATTCTGTGTCTCTCTCTGCCCCTCCCCTACCTGTGCTCTGTATCTCTCTATCTCAAGAATAAATAAGCATTACATTTTTTTTAATTTTATTATTTTTAAAAAAATTTTTTTTTTCAACGTTTATTTATTTTTGGGACAACGTTTATTTTATTTATTGAGAGACAGAGCATGAACAGGGGAGGGGCAGAGAGAGAGGGAGACACAGAATCGGAAACAGGCTCCAGGCCCTGAGCCATCAGCCCAGAGCCTGACGCGGGGCTCGAACTCACGGACCACGAGATCGTGACCTGGCTGAAGTCGGACGCCCAACCGACTGTGCCACCCAGGAGCCCCATAAATTTTAATAAAAAATAAAGAAAAAAGAAAAATACACAAAATAATAAGAACTATATATCAAGCAAGGCCGAGTTTCCTGGAGTGTGCTCTGTAGAATGCTTCCCCTTGGCGTTCACAAGTGTGATGGGTATGTAGGTGGAGGACAGAGGAAAGTCCACGCCAGAATCACTGAGTATATCATTTCTTCAGTGCAAGACTTATCAGAGCCTTTGGCAAGTTCATGTGCAGGAAGCTCTAATGGAGGCAGCAGCATTGCCCAAGGCTACCTTCTATCAATGCTTCCTAAAATGGCCTCCCACGGTCCAAATGTTTGCAAAAGAAAAAAAAATTCAAATCTAGTATTTTGGTTAAGAGACTGGGCTTTGGCATGAGACAGGTCCTAGCTTGGCTACTTCCCGGCTGGGTAACTTTGGGCAACGCACCTCACCTTCGTGAACTCTGGTTTCCTCATCTGCAAACCAGGACAATCGATGTTACAGAGCCCTTCAGAGGGGCAAAGAAGTGGGGCATAAAGAACCCAGCCTGGCGTGTGGCACCCACTGGGTGTTCAAAGACTCCCATCCGTTTCTCCCAGATATGTGGATCATGGAAAAGGAGGAAAAACTGGTCCCTCAATGCGAACCCCCAGCACTTTCCAGTTTACAGGGTACTTCTGATTCTTTTCTCTCTTCTTCACAATAGCACAGGAAGGTAGAACATTTTCTATCGTTGCTCTGATTTTATAGATGAGAAAACTGAGTCTCAGGGAGGTTATGGGACATCGAGGTCCGGAGGAGTCCAAAATCATTGGACTCTTTCCAGCCCTGGGGAGTTCGGGAAGGAATGCACTTGGCTCCTCGAGATGTGAACCCCCAGAGGGACTGAGCTTTCATGAGACCCACAAAAAGCGTATTTGGAGACAAAGACAGGCAGCAGATACAGTAACATCACCCACTGGGGGTGAAGAATGGGCTCAGTTCTCAAACACCCCCCTGGAGTAAGGTCAGGGCACCACGGCGGTCAGATCCGCCCAAGGATGTGCTCAGCTAGCCTCCCGTCTCCTGCCAAAACTCTGCCAATCACCGAGGCGCCCTTCAGCCCTGCCCCGGGCGATGCTCTTAGCTGTGAGCTCTGTGGGATGCCAAGTCCCCACCTCCTGCTTCTCTTGGATGGATTCATCACACCCGGGAGCAAGTCAACCACCTGGCTGGTTCACCGGCTCCTCCAAAGGGCCACTGCCTAGAAATCCACACTCACCAGTATTGCTTGTTAAGAGTCCATTACAAGGATTACATTACCAAATCATGCAACACTTCCCCATCTGAGATCTCCCTGAGCCTTCACGGTGACCCTACAAGCAGCCATATTCTCCTGTTTTACAGATGAGAACAGTGACGCTTCCTAGCAAGGTTACAGGGTTTCTCCAATGCCCCACACTCGGTAGTTGATGACGTTGGGACTTGACCCAAGCCTCCATGACTCCAAGGAAAGCAGCGACATTGGCTTTCTTGTGTGTCTTATAAACTGGCCTTGAGTGACCAGCACTGGATACAGAGCAAGGAGTCAAGGAATAGCGTGGATTTTAGTAATAGTTGAAGCTTTTAAATCACTTTCCTAAGATGGCAGAGTTGTTAAGGTGGAAAAGCAAAGATCCAGACAAAGAGTCTGCAAATTCCAACACCCACACCCTCAAGCCCTACAGTCTGGAGGTCTCCGTGGACAGACCGCCCTGGGAGCTAATAGCAGGAGTCAGTATTAGGAAATGCACCTCAGCCCTTTCTTGGAGAGTCAAATGTACACAAAGCCGTGAAAGATCTGCAAGGGTCCCGCAGCGAGAAAACCTATTAACTGAGCCATACCCCACAGCTTTCCAGCCACTCCACTGAAAGGACTCCTCTTACATTCACGTCAGTCAGTGCATCTGTAAGGGTGTGTATCTCAGCACTGGTTATAATAACAGAAGATCTGAAAATCCTGAATGCCCAGCCACAGGAGGCTTGTTGAACAAATTACAGCACGTGCCTAACGTGGACTGCTTTGAAGCTCTTAACTATGTACATCAGACCGGTATTTACTGACATGGAAAGAGGAAAGAGGCCAAGGACAAAACGCTTGTGAAAGGCTTCAAGAAAGCGCGGCCCCATTCGGGTGAAACGGTATCTCAACAAATATGTTATGTGTGTGTGTCCCATGACAGAGAGATACGAATTGGCTTGTAAAATAGTGGTAATGATGGTTTCTGGATGGTAAGATTTCAAGGGTTTATTGCTTCCTTATCCACTGTTTGAAAGGTCTGCAGGAGCTCGGATGACGCGTTAGGAAATTGTCTGCAAAGGAGACAGCCAGAAAGGACTGGTCCCCTTCTTGAAACATGGAAGGCCTTCCCCAAGGCCTAAGTCACATGGAACTGTGGGCTTTGGACAGAAATCTGGGGGTGATTATGCTTGACAGTTCCAGAGGCTTCTGGAAGCTCCAGAACCATATTTAAGAGAGGTACTTCTGCTCTAGCAGCCTTGACAGCTAAGGTCTTAGGTGGATACAAAAAGTCGGTCCCCAGGCTCTGGAGTGCACCGCCCCCCCGCCCCCGACTCTAAGGAAAATGGCACCCAGGACTGGACCTGCCAGGGCCCAAGGGGCACTTACCCGCTTCTGGCAGGACTGGCGGACATCTTCCAGCTCCTCCTCCTGGTCCTCACGGTCCTTCTGGTGCATCTGTTTCATCCGCTCGATCTCCAGCTCAAACCGCTGGCGGAGCTGGGGACAGCAAGGACAGCACATGAGGGTGACCCACACCAACCATGTCATCTGTGGTACTCCAGCTGCATTCTTCCTTTCTGGGATGCAGGGGTGAGAGTCCAGTAGCCCCCCACAGGTCCCCAGGGAGGTCAGAAAGGGTAGATAAATAGCCCACATGCCGCCTCTATCCCCTCCTGTGGTCACTACAAACATCACTAATCCGTCAGGCTACTTTCTGCCGAGTTTAGATGGAAGAATGCTTCGGAATCCTTCTCGACAATTGTTTAAGTTTATTTACTTATTTTGAGAGAAAGAGAGAGAAAGCACAAGCAGGGGAAGGGCAGAGAGAGACAGAGAGAGAGAATCCGGAGCAGATTCCGCACCGTCGGCCCAGAACCTCGCGCGGGGCTCGATCCCACACACCGTGAGGTCACGATCTGAGCCAAAATCAAACGTCAGATGCTTAACCGACGGAGCCACCTAAGAACCTGCTTCTCAACACTTTTAAGATGAGGCAGATATCATAAAAAAATTTTAAATGGGGGGGCACCTGGGTGGCTCAGTCGGTCAGGTGTCTGACTTCAGCTCAAGTCATGATCTCAGGGTTCGGGAGTTCGAGCCCCCCACCCGGCTCTGTGCTGACGGCTCGGAGCCTGGAAGCTGCTTCAGATTCTGTGCCTCGCCCTCTTTCTGGCCCTCCCCCACTCATGCTCTGTCTCTCTCTCTCTCAAAAATAAAATAACATAAAAAAGTAAAACAAAAAAACAAAAAAAACAAATGAAGCATATGTGTCCTTCCTGGAGCAAGCATCCGTGATGGTGTTTTGAATGAGTGGGTAGGTGGGCGGCTGGATGGTAAAACAAGTTTATTTATGAAGGTATGAAAGCCTCCAGGGGGAGATCACTTGCCCAGAATGTCACCTTGGACAATCCACTTCGCCTCTGATCACTCTCCTCTGCGGAAAACAATCACCTTAAAATGCATTATGAGAATTCAGTGAGATGGCCCACGTAAAGCACCTAGCACATCGCCTGGTGCACGAATCTGACTTTCTCTTTTGAAAACAGAGAGGACTGCCCCCCTCCCTCCTGGAAGACGTAACGAACAGTTGTGTCCCGTGAAGGAGGTGAGTCTTTTCAATAAGAGCCTCCAAAACTTGCTCACAGCCGACAAAGAGCTGCGGTGCATGAGGTCTAAGCTGTATGGTGCTGTCTAGAAGGTTCTAGAATTGGAAGCAGCCGTCACGGGTTCCTGTTGCGGTTCGAGATTTTCCTTTTTTGATCTTTGATCCATGAGGGATTGACCCAAGCCCCTGCTTCTCAAATTCTGTGGTGTGTTAGAATTGAACAATGCAATTTGTAAAAAAAAATTTGCATTTTTAGGGCTTCCCCCTTGACCTACTGCATCAGAATCTCCAGGGTCCAGGCTCCAAGAATCTATACTTTCCAGCTTTCTCTACTGTGGTGGTGAGGCAAAAGGATAGTGTACCACAGAGCCCTTATTACAGCTCCTGGCATAAAGTAAGCTCACATTAAATGTCAACCTCCTTCCTCGCCTCCTTTTAAAATGACAGGTTATGGGGAGATAATCCAAAAAGAGGAGCTTAAGCAAGTAAATATAATATTTCCTTTTCTTTTTTTTCCCCTAGCCTCTTGGACACTCCTGACATCTGCAATACCATTTATGTCAAGCCTATATGAGTGAACATAAAATTCCCCGGGGAAAGTGCTATATTGTGATCCATAAATATCTCCCGGATGTCTGCAAGGGCACAACGCCGCGTAGGGTTCTGGGCGAAGCTAAAGACGGATGGAAGTGTTGAGTCAGCCTTGCCTCCTGTGTAGGTTGAGGGTGGCGAATTAGGAAAGTTGCATTAACTTTCGGGTCCCTGCGGTCACAGGAGCACATTTCCGCTGCTGAGCGCCGAGGGGTGCCGGTGACATCTTAAAGAACCGACACAATTTTCCAAAGTGCCCACTTTATTCCTGATGCTGGGTGGCTTATGGGAGCTGCGCGATCTTCCATATCCCTTAACAATCTACACAGACATCCCACCTCCTTCGTGAACCTCCATGGGTTCCTCGCTAGAGCTGGGGAAAGCCAGGGGGTTGAAAAGCCTCCCGTTTCGGGGTACAGATGAGGAGACTGAAGCCTAGAGAAAACAGGGGGCTTGCCTAAGGTCATATCGACTGAGCTGCCTTGGGGACCCCATGTGGATGCGACCATACTTCAGCCACAGGCCTTTCCTGCCTCTAGGCTTTTGTACTGGCTGTTCCTCCTGCCCGGAACTCTCTCCGTGCCAACTTGCACTCACCCTTCCATAAATGTCACTTCCTCCGGTAAATGCCGCTTCCTCCAGGAAGTCTTCCCTGATTGTTCCTCCCCCACCCCACCCCCGCTCCCAAGACCAGATGGGCAAGTTAAACTTTCTCTTAACACTCAGCACGACTCCAAACTTCCAGAAGGCAGAGACCACACCTGTCTTGTTTACAGCTACATCGCATGATGCAAAGTAGGCGCTTGGTAAATTCCTGCCGGCTGAGCGAGGGAAGGGACTCTGCTTCCCGAACTGCTTCGGACTCTGTCCCTCCATGCCCACCACAAGCCTGGGCTCCACGCCAAGGGAGTGAGGGTAAGTGAGAAGCAAAGGTAGGCGCCCCAGTGCTCCCTCTCCTCCTTGCCCCCCGAACCACCACTCCTGTTCCTCACTTACCCGGAGCTGCTCAGGGTTCATCTGCTTGACATATTCATGCTATACCTGGGGCGCCTGGGCAGCTCAGCGGCTAAGTGTCCAACTCTTGATTTCAGCTCGGGTCATGATCTCATAGTTCGTGAGTTCAAGTCCCGCATCGGGTTCTGTGCTGACAGCATGGAGCCTGCTTGGGATTCTCTCTCTCTCTCTCTCTCTCTCTCTCCCTCTCTCTCTGCCCCTCCCTCGCTCTCTCCCCCCCCCACCCCCTGCCTCAAAAATAAGTAAATAAACGTTTCAAAAAAGTATATATTCATGATACCTAGTCACACTTTCTTGAAAAGGGGGTCCCCGACTTATAACCACTTTGAAATCACGGCAGCCTGAGAAATGCCCCAGGAGACATCGCTTCCCAGAGAAGCATCAGGAAACAGCTTTGCTTCCCCCTTGAAAAGCTGGTTTGTTTCTACCTTGGGGTAATAAAGAGCAGGCAGCTCACATTTCCTTTTTCTCTCTGGCCACCAGGAATTTTCGAGCAGGAACCATGAAGGCTGTAAGATTGTATGCTTTGTGGTTCTGTTTATGCATTCGCTGTCCCCCAAACTCCTTAGTGTCTCCTTTAGTGTGTGTTTCTCTGGCTTGGATTGCTTTATTTATAATGTTTCTGTTTTAGGGGTGCCCGGATGGCTCAGTTGGTTGAGCATCCGACTTCGGCTCAGGCCATGATCTTGGGGTTCATGGGTTCCAGCCCCGCCCCAGGCTCTGTGCTGACAGCTCAGAGCCTGGAGCCTGATTCGGATTCTGTGTCTCCCCCTCTCTCTCTCCCTTCCCCCTGCTCATGCTCTGTCTCTCTCTCTCTCAAAAATAAATAAACATGAGAAATGTATATAATGTTTCTGTTTTATTATGCAGACATTCTATATGCTGCTTGAATCAATTCCTTTGTGGAATGGGGTGGGCATATCAACAGACAAGCCAACAAATAAAATCCTCATCTGATACCTCACAAAGGGTGCTGGAACTAGATAGAGTATTTGATATTTCTGCCTACTTCCCCTTAGTTATTTTGTGGTTCCCAAAGAGCTAGTGCTCCAATCTTCCTCGAGGCTGTGCACGTAACAGGTGTTCTGGGTGCGACGGAGTCATAGGGCACAGGCCCCAGTTCCCTGGCACCCTCTCTCTCTGTCTCTGAGCCTCAGCTTCCACATCTGTGAAGTGGGGATATACTGACATCTGACCATCTAAGGTTCTGGGGGAGATTCCTGAGATATGAGCCAAGGGCTGAGTGTGGTATGCAGACGGCACTCAGTAAGCCTCAGATACCAGGCCAACAGCTATTTCTTGAGCACCAGCTAAGTACCTGGGCTCATTCTAGGCTCTGGGGAAGCCTGATCAGTGACATCAACAAAGCACCCTGCCTTCCTGAAACATTCTAATGGGTGAGAGCAGCATGGAGGAATTTTTTTTTTAAATACTATCGAAGAAGATGACAGATACTGTAAAGGAGAAGACAGGAGCTAAGGGCATGGGAAGTGGACGTGGGGTGGGGGTGGGGCTGCTTTCAAGAAGGTGATCAGGGCAAGCTTCTCTGAGGTGACCTTGACGCTTTGCAGGATGGGAGGAGTGGGCTACATCATGGAGGACCCGAATGCCGAACCTGGAGGTTGAGAGAGTCTCAGGGGTAATCGGGAGCCATAGAAGAATGAGGAGCAGCTGAGTGAGGTGAGGCGTTGGTGTTGCCTTCCAACAACCCCCTACCGCACAGGAGCCAGCATGGGACAGGGCATCGGCCTGGGACAGGGCTTTCCTACCTGCTCCAGCTGCTTGATGGTGTTTTCTTGCTGACTCTGGATTTTCTCATGCTCCAGGGCGCTGGATTCCAGATTCCAGAGCCTCTCCTTCAAGCCAGCGACACAGTTTTCTCCCAGAGAGGACAACCCCAAGAGCTCCCGCTTATGGGCCTGCAACGTCTCCACCTCCTGCTTCAGCTGCGAGGTTTCCTGCTCTTTTTGCTGGAGACCAAGGGGGCAGAGATATAGAGTCATGTGACCACATGCCCCATCCACCAGGGAACCGCCTGACATCCCTACCTTGGCCTGGCAGCCCCAGGAGCCCCCCCACCCCCACCCCGCCGTGGGACACCAAGAGCTGCTCCCTGGGACAGCTCACACAGCACGGGTGGAGGCCTTTTGGGGGAGCAGTTACCACCCCCCCCCCC